GTAATGTAGTTTGAAGTGCCTTGCCCAGGGGCAAAGCTGCATGACACAAAGAAACTCACAACCTTCTTCTATCCAGGTAGCCGGTCTAAGCAGCGAGCAACAGTTTCCCGCCTGAGATTTCAACCAATAAACATTCCAGCTAATGACAACAAAACAGGTTTTATTTTAAATTCATGACAAAAGACAAATGAATCCAGAACAAATGTTAATTTAAAACATCAACTGTTTCAAATAATGGAAACAAACAAACTGAATTCTACAGTTTATATGATTTAAACCAATCTTTACTATAAAACTCACATTTCTGTAAAACTGCTTTTAAAGCGTTTTAACATGCAGGAAGTTGGAAACAGCGGAACAGGAAAGGTTTTACTGTTTTAGGTGAATTTGAGCCTTTCAGAGAAAAAAAATTATACTTGACAATTATACCATACATTTAATATTGCAAGAATAAAAATAATGTAAAGTTCTCTCTTTGAAAATAAACGCCAGCAGTGTGAGCTGAATTAACTGCAGCTCAGTGATCAGAATTATTCACCTTTGCTATGAAAATCTGTAGCAAATCCTACTGTTAGAAAATCTTCATGTCCAAACAATATATTGTCAGAAGTAATGATAAATATTTGACTGTTTAGTGGATGAAATGGTCAGAGTGGAGGAACAGAAGCTTCTGGCCTCTCTGCTCTGCCCTGATTTAACCTGCTTGCTGCCATTCAGGTAAACCATTACGATCCTAACCTGACAACAGCCAGATGCATGTCTCGCTCCGCCTAGCTCCACTCGAGCTAGGCGGAGCGAGACATGCATCTGGCTGTTGTCAGGTTATGAAGATCCACCATCAATAGAAAAACCAAAAACTCTACAACAGCGATAAAATATCACCAGCAGCTTTGATAGGGCTGCAAGTTTGGATGATTTCTGAGGAAAGTTTCTAAAGTCCCCTGATCTCTGAGACTCACACAATAAAGCTTCAACAAAAGAAAAAAATTAAATGTACAATAAAGCTTATTCTATTGTGGCTGCTTAAGATTAACGGTTAAAAAAAAGGCCTGAGCTTATATAGTGCTTTTTCAGGTCACTGATGGTGGTGAGCTACATCGTAGCCACAGCTGCCCTGGGGTTCATCGACAGAAGCGAGGCCGCCGTACGCTGGCGCCACGGACCAGCGGGAATCTTGCCCAAGGACACGACACTGACAGCCAGAGCTCGAACCTACAACCGACCGATTGCAGGGCAAACTGCTGCACCTGATGCCAGCCTCATCCTCAGTCCCAACGGACTGATTTCCATCATGTAATGAAAAGCAGAGCCATTGCTGTCAAACATTTAAACTTAGGATTCAGATTAAAGGTGAATAAGCTGCAGTTTCAGAAACTAAATCTGGATTAAAGCTCTTTGTGAATCAACTCAGATGAACAAAAACTTCCATTCAAACACTAAAAATAGTCTAATAGCATATTGTTCCATCTCAGCTGTGCTGAACGGTCTATCTGTTGTACTCACTGTGCCTTCACTGCTGCTGCGTCTCTGTGAGCTGAGGAAGAGGAGGGAACGTCTGATGAAGCAGAATGAAAAACTAGAAAACCTTCCAAAGTTCACAGGGAGGAGTTTAAGCTCTGCTCCTTCTTTCTGAGCACAGACTCATAAACATGGAGGCTGGATGCAGTCGCTCTGATCGACCATGAAGAAAAACTGTGTCTGAAATGTGATGTTTTTGTGTGATCAGCTGGAAGCAGGTTTGCTTTACTCATTCCATTCTGCTCGTCATGTCCTGAATATGCACACCTGATATTAAACATAAACTCAACCTAACAAAGGTGCCGTTATACAGCCTGTAAAGCAAAGTTCAGTGAGGTCTTTGACCTCTGCATGTGGTTACTGTTTACACAGCCTCCTCTCAGCCTTGGTTGCTCCGGGTAGGAAGGTAAATGACTCAGCGGTTAAATCTCTGCACCTATGGCAGAGCGGTGGGTTACAACTCTGCCAGCAAAATCACTTTACTTTAGATCAAACATGTTTTACTGGAAAAACAATCTAGAAATAAGTGAAACATTTCTTAAATTTAGTGCATTTATCCTTAATTTAGTAAAATAAAGACAGTTCAATTGTGTTTTCTTATTTTAAATCTAAATTCTCTAAACAATTTTTCCATTAGCAAAATGTCTCTTTTATCTCCTCAATCCAAGAACAAATGTACTAACTTTAAGAAAAAAATGACTTATCTAGATTTTGATTCTTTCCAGAATGAAAATATAAAATGTCAAAGTCTAACTCAATGAGAAGATCAACTCTGTGTCTGTTTACCTACAGTCATGTCAGTCGTCCCGTCCTCATCAGGTCTGCCAGGTCCTCTGTCGGCCTGCTAACAGCCATCTGGAAGCTAGATCTGATTTTTTTAAACATATTTTCTGGTTCTCCACCCAAATGTGAAACCTCACCTCACACTGCCCAGCTTCACAAGGCCTTCATTTCAAACCCAGACTGTGTTTTATAACCTGTGTATTTTCTGTGCAGGTGAATCCTTACCATCTTACCATCTATGTTAAGAAAGAAAAACCAACCTTGAACAACAACCAATGCAGCGATAGAGTTGATTCCTTCCTGCTATCATTGCAGCCCCCACCCTCATACAGGGGAACAGGAGACCTCGCCTATTCAGCCAGGACAACATTCCCTTTGCGTGGGCCGACAGTGGCGTTGGATGTTGGAGTTTGCCCTGAAATCGGAGGGTTGACGGTTCAAGCCCCGGCTCTGACTTTCATTGTCGTGTCCTTGGGCAAGACCCTTCACCTGCATTGTCTACTGATGGTGGTCAGAGGGCCCAGTGGCGCCAGTGTACGGCAGCCCCTCTTCTGTCAGTGAGCCCCAGGGCAGCTGTGGCTACAATGTAGCTCACCACCATCGGTGAATGAATGGGTGAGTTTACTGACTTGAAAAAAGGCGCTATATAAGTAAAGGCCGTTTACCATTTAATGACCCCCCTTTCTGACAAAAGTGATTCTGTCTGCAAAGAGAGATTTAAAAGGAACAGTGCCACCAACTGATATAGAACTACAAATGCAATACAGAAACATGCTGTATTAATCAGTACGGAACGCATAAAGCGGTAGCTGAAGATAACAATTGGTGAGTAATGGGATCAGAGCAGCTGTAGGTGTTTGTTAGAGTGCAATTGTGTGTATAAGGTTNGTAATGTAGTTTGAAGTGCCTTGCCCAGGGGCAAAGCTGCATGACACAAAGAAACTCACAACCTTCTTCTATCCAGGTAGCCGGTCTAAGCAGCGAGCAACAGTTTCCCGCCTGAGATTTCAACCAATAAACATTCCAGCTAATGACAACAAAACAGGTTTTATTTTAAATTCATGACAAAAGACAAATGAATCCAGAACAAATGTTAATTTAAAACATCAACTGTTTCAAATAATGGAAACAAACAAACTGAATTCTACAGTTTATATGATTTAAACCAATCTTTACTATAAAACTCACATTTCTGTAAAACTGCTTTTAAAGCGTTTTAACATGCAGGAAGTTGGAAACAGCGGAACAGGAAAGGTTTTACTGTTTTAGGTGAATTTGAGCCTTTCAGAGAAAAAAAATTATACTTGACAATTATACCATACATTTAATATTGCAAGAATAAAAATAATGTAAAGTTCTCTCTTTGAAAATAAACGCCAGCAGTGTGAGCTGAATTAACTGCAGCTCAGTGATCAGAATTATTCACCTTTGCTATGAAAATCTGTAGCAAATCCTACTGTTAGAAAATCTTCATGTCCAAACAATATATTGTCAGAAGTAATGATAAATATTTGACTGTTTAGTGGATGAAATGGTCAGAGTGGAGGAACAGAAGCTTCTGGCCTCTCTGCTCTGCCCTGATTTAACCTGCTTGCTGCCATTCAGGTAAACCATTACGATCCTAACCTGACAACAGCCAGATGCATGTCTCGCTCCGCCTAGCTCCACTCGAGCTAGGCGGAGCGAGACATGCATCTGGCTGTTGTCAGGTTATGAAGATCCACCATCAATAGAAAAACCAAAAACTCTACAACAGCGATAAAATATCACCAGCAGCTTTGATAGGGCTGCAAGTTTGGATGATTTCTGAGGAAAGTTTCTAAAGTCCCCTGATCTCTGAGACTCACACAATAAAGCTTCAACAAAAGAAAAAAATTAAATGTACAATAAAGCTTATTCTATTGTGGCTGCTTAAGATTAACGGTTAAAAAAAAGGCCTGAGCTTATATAGTGCTTTTTCAGGTCACTGATGGTGGTGAGCTACATCGTAGCCACAGCTGCCCTGGGGTTCATCGACAGAAGCGAGGCCGCCGTACGCTGGCGCCACGGACCAGCGGGAATCTTGCCCAAGGACACGACACTGACAGCCAGAGCTCGAACCTACAACCGACCGATTGCAGGGCAAACTGCTGCACCTGATGCCAGCCTCATCCTCAGTCCCAACGGACTGATTTCCATCATGTAATGAAAAGCAGAGCCATTGCTGTCAAACATTTAAACTTAGGATTCAGATTAAAGGTGAATAAGCTGCAGTTTCAGAAACTAAATCTGGATTAAAGCTCTTTGTGAATCAACTCAGATGAACAAAAACTTCCATTCAAACACTAAAAATAGTCTAATAGCATATTGTTCCATCTCAGCTGTGCTGAACGGTCTATCTGTTGTACTCACTGTGCCTTCACTGCTGCTGCGTCTCTGTGAGCTGAGGAAGAGGAGGGAACGTCTGATGAAGCAGAATGAAAAACTAGAAAACCTTCCAAAGTTCACAGGGAGGAGTTTAAGCTCTGCTCCTTCTTTCTGAGCACAGACTCATAAACATGGAGGCTGGATGCAGTCGCTCTGATCGACCATGAAGAAAAACTGTGTCTGAAATGTGATGTTTTTGTGTGATCAGCTGGAAGCAGGTTTGCTTTACTCATTCCATTCTGCTCGTCATGTCCTGAATATGCACACCTGATATTAAACATAAACTCAACCTAACAAAGGTGCCGTTATACAGCCTGTAAAGCAAAGTTCAGTGAGGTCTTTGACCTCTGCATGTGGTTACTGTTTACACAGCCTCCTCTCAGCCTTGGTTGCTCCGGGTAGGAAGGTAAATGACTCAGCGGTTAAATCTCTGCACCTATGGCAGAGCGGTGGGTTACAACTCTGCCAGAAAAATTACTTTACTTTAGATCAACCATGTTTTACTGGAAAAACAATCTAACTATCCAACTATCACTCTACGTCGAAAACTGGGTCATTTTGCTCTGGGCTTGACAAGCTCAGGTATGAAGATCCAGCGGTAGACCTGATGGTGCCCGGCTCTCCAAAGAACACAGGGGCAAAAAGTGGGATGAGTCATAAGCAGCCTTTGCGGTTGATCTACAAGGATTTCTTGTGAAAAAGGATCAGACCCATATAATAGAAACAACCCTGGTTTCTATAGTCATTTAGGAAACCTCATTTTCCCAGAAGCCTCCTCTCACCAGTCTGACCACAGGAGTGACAGCGATCATATTCATTTGACTGATGAATCAGAGAACTTAAGCAAAGAAGGAAACTTTGATCCAGGCTATTGCTGAGGCCTTTTCCTGAATCTACATCTACTACATGTCAGACCATTGCTCACAGCTTCTGGTCGAAAGTTCACCACTATTTCTGCTTGAGGGCGTGACTAGCCACCAGCTGCTCCTTTCCATCATCCTTCTGCCCAGCACAATCCTTGCATCAGTCTAACCTCTAAAGTTAAATAGAGTCTACAGAGACTTTAAAATATAAAAAACAACAAACAACATCAGTCACTGAACACAGTATAGTTTGTCTCTTCTTGCTTTCTTTCCTCAGGACCTGAAGAACCCATCATCTTTCCTCACACCTCCTGTGTGCTGCAGGGATTTCACCAACAGGGGGTGCTGTTGACCAACCCTCCATTGCCTTGAAACCAGAACACTTGAGTGTGTTTATCTTCAACTCCTGGCAAAAACGATGGAATCACCTTCCTCAGCAGATGTTCATTCAGTTGTTTAATTTTGTAGAAAATAAGCAGATCAGACCGGATTCAAAATGTCAACCGTCTGACTGCGAAAAAACAACATCTTTTGCAACACTGCGTGATGATTTACCCAAGGAAGAGGATTGGGCCACTGGAAAAAAAAATGTTACTGATTTTTTTATTTTATTTCAGTTTAATATAAGAAAAAAGTTCATAATTCTGACAGCTAACCAACATGTTAGCATCCAGCCATAGCCATGTCCGTTTTAGAGACCAGCTCTCTTGTTTTAATCACCTTCTGTTCTTCCATTAATCAAATCTCATCAGCAGGGACGGAAAAGTCGCCCAATTCCATCATTTTCCACCAATGTGTTCCTGTTCCTCCCAAACAGCTGAAGCTGAGTTCTCCTCATCTCTGCCTTCATGGCGACCATCTACATTAAGATCCACAAAGTCAGAATTCTGACCTTTTTCCCATATTAAACTGAAATAATATTTAAATATCCATTAACATCTTTTTTTCAGTGGCCATAATCCTCTTCCTTATTTATCCTCTTTGAAGAGTTTGATAATCCTCTCCTTTGTTTCAAATGACATCTGTCATCCTGGAGCCGTGATTCTTAGACTTAGACAAACTTTATTGTCA